GTAACCAACCGGGGACAAAAAAGGCGATCCTCCAAGCCGTGAACGCTGTTGCACCACAACGTCTTATGATCTCATACACAAGCGGCATGAGCAACTGCGTTACACCTCCACCCATGTTTCCCCATCCAGCAGCTGTCCCGTTCACAAGACCAATGATCTGACTATTGAACATAGTGCTCATCCAATATTGACAAGACACAAACGTCGCTAGGCAGAAACCAATCATGAACCTCACCGTTATAAAACCTCCAGCATCATGCACGAAGCTCATCGAGAACACCGTTGGCGCGGAAAGCATCACAAGGAAGGCACAGCCGTAACGTGGACCCAAAAGATCACACACGGCTCCCATCACTAGCCTAGAGAAGATACTTCCCGAGACCGAGGCAACTCCAGCATTTCCAATGTCTTGTTTGGTAAGGTTGAGATTCTCACGGATGATGGGGACAAGTGGTGCAGCTGCGAATGTCGAGACGAAACATGTGGAGAAAGAGATCCATGAGAGGTGGAACGTTCTCATGTGAGGCTTGGCAAAGGAGAAGAGCTTGAAAACCGTTGCCTTATGCTCTGAGTCCACCGGAAGGTCGAACTTTGCGGTCTTGTCGGTTGGGACAATAGGTGAAGCCACCGAGAAAGCAAAAGTTTGTTCTCTACCGGTGACTCCATGCATGGAGCTTCCCGGCTCGCCAATAGAATCTCCCATTGGTCTAAGTTCCTTTAGAAGTTGATATTTGATTCAAGTTTGTGTTTACTAATGATGTCTAGAGATTACACGAGGGGCTTATATAGGATTCATATTTGAAAATAATGCATTGTTTGGAGATTCTCAACGGCTAACTAACAGTTTATTTATTTTTATCTTTAATTACGACAACAATTTTAAGGTATTATTTGGAGGAATCTATTGCCTAGTCCCCTCGCTTATCCGAAAGGTTGTCCATTTCTCAAATGACAACTCTATCCTTCTCTGCTGGTTCATAATTCACTGTATATGTGGAATCCTTTTGACATATCTAAATAGAATATATGTGATTTTGGATTGTCATCAAGGTTCATGAATAGTTGAGGTCGAAAATTGGAGAGGCTCAATTGTCATTAGACCACCCACAGCTAAATGTTGAATGTTTAAAACTAAAACCACGAATATTATCAAATTACATATGAGATTTTTGCTAGTTCTTGGAACTTAATTTAATTTATCCGTTTTTCGGTTGTCACAGTTCTAGAATCCTAACACTTTTAATACGCCTTGTGAATTTTGAAGACTTTCTATGCAAGTGGTACCAAAACAAGTTTCCACTTGGTTCAACGACTACTTTGTTACAGTCTCGCATTCAATATAAAGCTCGCACTATTTTCTCGGAACGAGAACAAGCACATAGCATCACGCTACTCATTAAAATCTACATTTCTAATCATTATAATAAAGTGCTGTCATTGTATTTCTCTAAAATTATGCAGTCACACTAATAATTTGAAGGGTGTCAATGTAAGTGTCTATATCGTATGTTATCAAGGATATGAATAATTAAAGTTTATTGAGTAATATAATTGTTGTCTCTCGGACGGTCGAATTTTATCGTGGCCTTAGCTGCATATTAGTTGTCTCTTAACTTTCAGTACGAGCACTAATTGTAATACTGCAAAACTAGATAATTGCATATATAGCACATGACGTATGGTCATAAGCCCAAGTTCACAACCATCTATAAAACATATATGTAATGGCATTAGCAGTTTTAATTTACATCCACCATTACATCCACCATTTACATCCACCATTACATCCACCATTACATCCACCATTTACATCCACCATTAGACTTATACGTCGAATAAGTAACACTTAGACAATGCATATTTACAAGTCAAATTAAAAGGTTTACTTCTTTAGCAACAACAAAACATGTGTAGTTGTTTGGAGAGAATGAAAAAAAAAACAAGACAAAAACCATTGAAATATGACGTAATTTACTTGGTTATTTTTTTCCCTAAAACATTTCCAACTCATTCGAATTGATATGCAGACATGCGTATATTGTACTAATCCTTAACCAAAAACTTATTAGAGGACAAGGAACTCGTATACGTGAGTATAATTTATGTGCATGTAAATGTCCACCATAGTTGCCGTACCATATTATTGGTACTTGTATAAATCGATCTTGCTGACGTTTCCGATGTTCCCTGTGTTGAGGCCTGTTGATGTATAAGAAAAGACAAAAGTTCGCTGTCTAAATGTGAAAAGTCAACTTTTTGATGATGTCGTCACTGTTTTATACTAATATAGTAATATGTGGGAGATATTTTTCAACTTTCAGATGCTGGCAAATCAATTTGATCGTATTATTCAAACTACTGATTATATAAATGAGTCAAAGTTAACATTTAAAGTCTGGAAACGCCGGGGCAGATAAGAATTTTGGCTTCGTATAATCCGATAATTAGAATAATGGTTGGATTATGATTACAATACGCTAAGTTATATATTGGTCTAATTTTGTTGTTCGTAACTATTGGATACATATATATATTTAGGAATATATGTTAGAGATATATCCAAATAATATAAAGATATACATGTATCCGGTAAATATATAGGAGATCAAGTAGGTCAAGGAATATTCACGTTGTTCAGTTATTTACAGTAACATATATAAGTTACAGTTCCCACTTCAATTCAAACTGGTTTATCTACATAACGTAATTACACCGTAATGTTGAAAAGAACGTAATACCAATGTATGAGTTAATTTTCTTTTTTCATTAATCTTTTTGACTTATGCTTGTCCTATGAACACAAAACGAAAATCACAAAATTTAGAGAAACTGTGAGATAAACCGATAACAGTTTATTCATCTTCTATACAGATGTATAGATAAATAAAAACCAAGTCACTATAGTGACAGTCTGGTGGTAATCTGTTAGACCTCAATATTTTGTTTTCTGATGGGAACTAAGTTATTTGTGTTTTTGTGTTATGAGTTTCGGTATGAGCCGTAATGGATGATCAGTCTACTTTCAAATTAGTCGATAGATATTCAAATTCAAATCAGACAATATAATACATTTCAGACTACTTCACTTTGTAACATTAGGTATGTCCTTCCTAAAATCGACCATATAGACAAAGTTGATAGGGTTTATTAAAAAGAAATATCAAAAATAAAAATAGGTCATAGAATATTATTATATAAAAGAAAATGAAAACTAAACTAAAATAGCAAACAGGAAAGAGATGGCCACTGATATATCGTAAAGGGGTGATATTTTATCTGATACCTAAACTCGTACCTGAATCTGACCCGAAGTATCCGAATCGAAATCTGAACTGAAGTAACAATATATCCGACATGTATTGAATTATGAGAGATTGGATATCCAAACTCAAACGGGTAATATCTGAACCCGAATAGATATCCAAAAATAACCGAACATATGTATATATACATATTTTATTCTTAGTTTATTTATCTCATTTATTCAAATATTTATATTAATGTTTCTATATGGCTTAATATCAGATATACATATATGTATATATATATATATATATATATATATTAGTAAAAATGATTTTCTATTCATTTTAAATACATGTTAAGCTTCTTATTTCATGTTTTAACAAACTTATTAACCGTCTAACCTATTAAACATTTAGAAAATAGTTAAGTTATAGTGAAATTTTAAATACATGAAACTTGAACAATGAAGAACTTTAATTTTTTCTTTCAAAATCTAAATATCCGAAAACCGATCCAAAATAACTAAAGCTGAACTAAAAATATCCGAACCCGATCCGATATACAAAAATATTGAACGGGTACTAGACCCAATACCGAAATACCCGAAAACTTGAAATACCCGAACCGAACCCGAAAATTACAGAACAAAGCCCTTGTACACAGTAAAAAAAAAATTTACAGGAGACCATACACACATAGATTTTGGGCGCCCATTGGCATCATACTGGACTTCTTTTAGAGACAGCTCAATATAAACTTGTTCAACCCTATGTTATATGGAAACGGAAGCGGGTGCGCGGAAGCGGAATTGTATAGAAGCGCAAAATCGAGATTTTTAAAAAAATTAGGAAGCGGATACGTGTTGGAAGCGTATATCCAAATATACATATATATATATATATATATAAAAGAAATTTAATAAATTTTATAACTAAGAATTATATGATTCTAATTTAAAATAAAGCATTTATTCATTTATTATAATTTTAAATGATTGCATATTACAATTATGAAAATATGGATAAATTAAGTTTATAAACAAATATTACCAATTAGTTATTTTTAACATTTTACAAATAATTGGCACAACATATTTGAACATATATATATATATATCTCTAATAAAACAAATGCATACATATGACTTATAGTATTAATTTTAGTATTTACATATATATAGTCTCACTATATATACTATTATATACTATAAAACATATAAATGATTTCATATTTCATGTATATATGATATTGTATTTTAAAAATTGGAAACGTGATTCCAAAATGGAATCGTAAGCTTCTAACGTATTTTTATATACGTTATTTTAAGAGCGTTTTGGAATCAAGATTCCGTAAACTTCCACAAGATTCCGATTCCGATTCCGGTTCCAAAGCGGGAAGCGCAAGTCGGATGAAGCTTCCGTGTAAAATCTTTGTAACTGTGTAATTGCTATTAAGCTGATCCACTGGGCCTTTTCCCTAAACACTATAGTCCTATGGGCTTATAATAAATATATTTTTTTCTAAAATCTATTTACGCGGACGACGTCGTTCAACTAATCCCGAAGTCTCTGGTCCCAAAACGCATTAGAGCAGTCGGAGTCTCTACTCCCAAACTAATCTCGTACAGTCACAAGACACAGCTCTCGGTCGGATTCATCGTACATCGGTAAAAAAAAAAATCTCTCCTTTTTCCTTTTTTTTTTTTTAATCTCAAATAATTTCTGTGGTACGAATTGAAAAGCCAAGGAAACGTAATGGGTTCGTACTCAATAGCAAGTGCTATATCTCGATTTCCGCCTCTAACCCGATTCGTTAAACCTTATTCGACCGCTTTTTCTTACATCAATTGTCCTTGTAACAGAGCACAGAGGCCAAAGGTTTAAACTTTTTTTCTTCTAGGAAAGCCCTTTTCTTGGATGCGACTGTGTGTGTTGTTTAGTCATCGACTCATCTGAGTCTGTTCGGTTTTGTTTTGTAGAGATTTGATCAGCTTCGTGTGTTCTCTATGGCCTCGGAAGCTAAGGAATCACCAGCAAACAACCCTGGCTTGTCTACGGTTCGTGATGAGGCTACAAAAGGGTATATCATGCAGCAAACTGTAAGACTCCAATTTTTGTATTGGAATTGAAAAGGTTGTCTCTTTTAAGGGGCTCTTAGGTGTCTGGATATACATGTTTAGTCCCTTGTTTATATATGTCCCAGTTTGTGAATGTTATAGAGTTAACTCTTGTTGGATTAAGAGTGTTGTAAGCCGTCTTGGTCCTTCAACAATTGATATTGTTCCATCTTTGTTTGTAATTGTCAGATGTTTCGGGTGAAGGACCCTAAGGCAAGTCTTGACTTTTACTCACGCGTCCTGGGAATGTCGTACGTTTTTTTTTGACCTTTTCAATGATCTTCTCTCTTAAGATGCAAATGCATATGCACTCTTTCCTTTTGTTTTCCTTAAGTCCCCATGGAAACAAAGGACTCCTATGTTCTTACTCTACAAGTTCTGTATTTTGATTTTTTTTTTCCAGATTGCTGAAAAGGCTAGATTTCTCTGAGATGAAATTCAGCTTGTACTTCCTGGGCTACGAGGTAAAAATTTGTTCGGTGACCTGTTAATTATTCACCATGCTAGAGTGCATCCTAGAGAAACAATGTATAGAACTTTGCAATTTGCATCATCAATCGAGCTTCAGCACATAAAAAAAATTTAGAGCACTTAAAATCAGTCAAATGTATTGATGGATTAATATGCTTAATGAGAAGAAGTTGTAGAAATGAAGCTAAATTAATAGTTTTAGAATTATTTTGTGTTCTTGTTCTACATCACTTAGATGAATATAGATATTTCTTTTGGGTGGTTAACCCTTGCTAGTTTTAGTGGAGAGCAATAAGCTGAGTTTAAATAATTTTACTATGGAACAGGATACTTCAACAGCTCCAACGGATCCAACTGAGAGAACTGTTTGGACCTTTGGTCGACCTGCAACAATTGAACTGACTCAGTAAGACACAACTGTTATTACTCTCTTTTCTTGCATTGGACGTTCCCTTACACATGAATACAACCTTCTCAGTAACTGGGGTACAGAGAGTGATCCTGAGTTTAAAGGCTATCATAATGGGAACTCCGAGCCTCGTGGATTTGGTAAAGTCTCTACCCTTGCTATTCTCTACATATCATCAATATGAACTTGTTAATAAGCATAAAAATGAGGCTTGTGTTGTGGCAATTCCTACAAGAGAAGACCTGTATTAACACAAATGTTGCTGTTATTGCTACAGGGCATATTGGGGTTACGGTTGATGATGTGCACAAGGCATGCGAGAGATTTGAACAATTAGGAGTTGAGTTTGTCAAGAAACCATATGATGGTATTACTACTCCCAGTTGAATCTATTAAAGATTTGCCTCTGTTTGGAAAAGGTTCTTATCATTTTGTCCCATGTAAACGTTGCAGGAAAGATGAAGAATATCGCCTTCATCAAGGATCCTGATGGCTACTGGATCGAGATCTTCGATCTCAAGACTATCGGGACAACAGCTGGAAACGCTGCTTGAAGTAGTTCCGATTGTGTTCTTGATTCCACCTGAGTTTGAATACAAATAAAGATGTATCCCTATCACAACGAATAAAAGAAAAGACATTATCTGTGTGGTCTGTTTCTTGATATTCACAATGTTTCTTGATATTTACTGTGAGTTAAGTTTAATAAGTTGTTATCAATGAGAATCAATTTGATTTGATGTCAAAAATGATACGTGAATGTTCTATGTTTATTTATATATTTTGATTGTTAAGAATGAACTAACCATAATACCTTCTCATTGAATATTTCTGGATTCTTTTGAGGATTTATGAAGCACAAGCAATAACAGAAAGAAAGTCTACATGCGTCATTGTATACAATGTCCAGGATACCAAAAGTAAAAATGAAAAATGGTTGAGATCTTGGGTACAACAAGGCTCTTAAGTTTGGCTTATGCAGAGTCATTTTTTCACCTACAAACAAAATCAAAGAAAAGTAAGTTAAGTAAGAGGTCAGTTTCATTATATATGACACACAGGCTTCGTATAGACATTGGCATATACGCACCTGAACATCTATCTTAACGTCACGTAGAAGCTGTGCAGCAACTTTACCATACCTTCTCATCTCCCATTCACTCATCTTCCCGTCCTTTAATCTCATCAACAAGCTATCATCTCTAAGTTTAGGACGGTGTGTAGCAACGTCTTCCTCTTCCAACAGATTTGGTAAATCATGGCATTCTACGGTTGAGACTTCCTTCTCACACTTTGTTTCAGTCGTGTCAGCAACAGCAGCTTCATCTTGGATCGCGTTTCCAGAGCTCTCGGCAGAAGATTTCTGTGACATGAGGTACAGATGAATGCTCGGGTCTTGGTATTCACCATCCATCTGCAGATTTCATTCCAGAATAAGCGTTCACGTAGTTACACGAAACTTAACACACAGAGACTATAATCAGTTTTGTTATTTACCTTGGATCTAGGTATGGTTTTGACTTCGAAGTTGTCTTTCCACATTTGAAGCATTTTGTCATGAACGATCGTCGAACGTATCTCATATCCCAACTAAAAACAACAACCAAATCATCTTGTAGTTTCAATATTAATATCAAGCCAATCTTTACATATTATAGTTCATACCATAACTGTTGTCTTTGGCCCTGATAGCGCAAGTATGGTGTGCAACAGAGGCTCCAGAAGCTGCTCAGAGTATACCTTTAACCAAAAACAAGGTGAGGTTACTCATTCCCTTTGGCTAAAACAAGTTTGTGTTATGGTAAAACAAGCCTAAGTAACTTACAACATCAGTACCGATGACATAATCAAAAGGCGGCTCAACCGCCCTTATATGATCTTCATTTTCCCAGTAAAGTTCAGCAACTCGGAGCGATCCAAATGATGCTACAAGGAATAATAACATGAACCATATAAAGTAAGCATCCCCTAACGAGTTGGCTCTACAAACTTCTCATTGGCATAACAAAACGAAGAAAGTAGTAGAAACCACAGGCGAGATGGCAACTTAGAGGAGACATTATTGACACACAAACCTGACCCAGGATTCATCTGCAAGATTGTTGACGTATTCCATTCTACGTTCCTTTTTAACAGTGGCAAAACCTCTTTTTGGTCAGTTGAAACCACATCACAGCCCAGCATTGCCATAGCTAACACATGAATACAAACTCAGCTTAAAGATACCAAACTATCCATTTCAATCAGAGATGCCGTCATACATCGAAGAGGAGAACCCCAAGAAAATATTAATTACATACATGCATCTACATACCAAATCCAGCTACTCCACAACCCGCTCCAAGCTCAATAGCACGTTTCCCTTTCAGTTTAGACGGACTAAACCTTCCCTTCCTGCAATTTTTCCCCTGAAATGTTTTAAGCAACATGAAGTCTTACAAAAATTATACAGCTAGCCAAGAAATTGAGCAGGGATTTCTAGATTAGCCAGCTCAGCAGCAGACCCTGCGGCTAGTCGAGAGCTTATAGTCTTAATAGGTTTGTGACATTTAAAGAACGAGACCACAAACCAAACCTATCAAAGTCTCACCGGAGGACAAGAATTATTGATTAATTGTGAGCTTATACTTAGTTCTACCAAATATACACAACACACTCCAAGGGGACTTAATCTCGAAGGGCAAATCCTTTTCTTTTTTTCTTTTTTTTTGGATAAATATCAAATAGCAATCCCTTGCATTAGGGATAAGAATCATACCAGATATTTGGCAAACACCATGGACGCGTCCCACACGGTTGTTCCATGATGCTTAGAGTTTGGATCCTGCCACGTGGAGAATTGTGGCATCATGACACAGCGTTAGAAGCATAAAAACATGAACTTTAAATGTAGTATTAAAGAATATAATAAAAACCATCATGAATTGATACCTGAGCAAAACTTAATTTGTGCCCCAGAACCTCAAGGGTTACTGTACAGGTGCTTGGAGAATTCACCCTAGTGATAATACATCAAAATTTGTTCAACTTCTCCATATAAAAACCAGAACAGTGACAGCTCAAACTATTTCTGAAAAACATAAACGTAATCCTCAACTGAATCTAGAGAAGAATCTATCTAGTAATGATTCTACCTGAAACAACCAAGATCTCAACTTGTGTGATAAAAACTTAAAAAACAGGTCCCAACTTGAAAACAACCACCAAATAAGCTGAAGTCTATATAGCTAATATGATCGTTCTCGAACCAAATTTTGTTTTTTTTTCGCGAAGATTATGCTGAAACCAAAACTGACTATAATGATAATAACAAATTAATGGAGATTGATTATAAAAGTGGAGTACCTGGCGGGATCCATTTGTTTTTTTTTTTCCACCCGACGAAACACAAACTACGCGAGTTATCGATGCTCTCAAGAGTCAAGACTAGGAGGCAGGGAGAGTTCTCGTAAAGGTGTTTCAGACTTTCAGTTTCAGTTGAGAGAAAAGTAAGAGAAAGGAAAGGAAAACCACTTCTCGAACCTGTGTAAACTAAGGTTTTAATGTTTATTGGGCTTGTCTGACCTTTAAAAATGTTTTTGGGCCTATTTATACTATTTTACTCGGAAAAACTTATTGCGCTTAATCAGCTCAAATAGTATCATTTAGAGTATCGGATTACCATCTTGCTACTAACATCCGGCTTCTACTGTAAAACTATTCCACAGTTTGCGATGTCAAATAGAGTCATCAGGAGTGTAGATTGATCCGTTGTTGATGAATGTATAAGCTATTGGCACACTTGATTTCTATCCTAGCATGCATGTCACAAAGGGGGTCTATATCGTGTGGCAAATAATGAATCAGAACTTCACATAAAATTGTCTTTCATAAACAGTTACAAGGTTGAGAACTCAAAACACACGATGTGCCCGAGAGAAATGTACTCTAAGACCAGATTACAGTTGTTCAATCGTCTTCACCTTTGGCATCATTGCTCGGATGGTTGTGCTTCTGAGCTTGGTACATATCAGCAATCTGAGAAAATATCAGAAAAGAGAAAAGTACTTCAAAACCAGTCTGGTCTTGCAATTCCAGTACATCATCTGGCTATAACAGCACTGACTTTAGTTAGAATGAGACTACACACCTGTTCAGATGATGTTGCATCCTCTGGCTTCTTGTCTTCCCGTACACGGAGCAAACGAGGAAAACGTAGAGAAATCCCCTTTTAATCGACACAAAATCGAAACATTCAATCAAATAGCTTAATATCATATCAAATAGATCCAAACCAAATAATGAAAGATAATGTTAAACCTTATCAGGGTCGACAATGCCGGTAGCTGCACGATGCACAGGGCTAATTGTCAAGTCAGCTGCCTTTACTTCCCAGACCTTAAAGCAAAAGCATATAGAACTCGTTAAACAAAACGTAGTTTCGCAGATATTTGTTCATCCAAGCAAACACAATCCTACCTCAGTGGGCTCAAACCAAACATCTGGATTAAGGCTGTCTCCAACTCGGTAGTATGGCTGGATATTTAAATCATTACAGTCAGTAACCACTCACGTATGATATTGCAGCCAAAAAATGGTGCCAAAGAGAAGAAAGAAATATTCTACTTTTGGAGTAGCAATCACTCTAGAGCGAAGACTGGTAGACCGCTCTTCAAGAACGGCTTCAGAAAATCCAGTACCTACTTGCCCAAACCGTATAAGAAACTAGACATAGCATACATACAAAAAAAAAATGAAATGCAAAGTTGCATAAGACTGACCTATTTTACAAATGCTCTGGAATTCTTCCTTATCAGCATCGTAGCAAGCTAGCAAAAATGCACCAAAGACACCTAGAAAGAAAAGCAAGTAGCTTCGTTAAAATGAAGGACGAATGTATCACCCCGATATAGTTTGAATGGTTTTAACCTGTGCGTTTGCCACGTCCATGGAAAGCAGCAATTGGTACAAGATCCACAGAGTCCCCAATACTGCATATTTAACCTTAGGGGTTAGTAAAGGACTCAATTTCAGACTTAAACAAAGGTATTTGAACGGATTTTACCTGTCCATATAGTCTTTCTTCAGCTTTAGCCAATTGTTTGATCGCTTTGCAGGCTCATAGGTAGCATCTGAATTCAATGTTTTAATGATTAACCCTTCACAGCTGCAACAGAACATATAAAGATGAAAAACTGGAGCAACAAAGTTATAGCATGGTAAAGGCCAATGTAATATGGAAAAAATAGAAGGGTGGAGAAATCACAACAGGTATGAATCAAATACTAAAAACACAATTTTCATTACATAGAACACATAGTGAAAAAATGAATCAACATAATGAGGCAGAGTTCAATGTCATATGGTGTATAAGCAAATGAAAGGAATTCACTACAGGAATGGTCGAATTGCTAAAACATCATATCCTTAACACATGTAGAAGATGCTATCTACAATAAAATACCCAAAAGAAGTTATCTATCAGAATCTCTAAATTTCTGCGAGAACCGAGGCACAGCACTAATACAGAGAGAATGCGAAATTACTGCAATTGTTAGAGACACAGAGAAGTGTAAGAAGTATACCCAATATCAACAGACGCATCAAGAAACTTTTGTATTTCATCTATATCGCTGGATGTTAGAGTTGTTGCAAACTGGAAATATCCAGGATCTTCCTCAAATGATTCGTAGAGCTTCTGCAAAAAGCAAGGTGAACACAAACGATTATACATTTGCACAGAATCTACTTCATGAAAAATTGATTACTGACTCACCTCTCGGCGAATATTAAGATTCTCCTGGATAAGTTGCTGGCCATTTAGATATAACATGTCAAAAGCAAAGATGCATACGCCAACTTTGATATCATTGACATTCACATTTTTACGGGCTCGAGTGCTCAAAATCTGAAAAAGGAAAAATGAACTATAAATACCTAGCCAGCAAGCCAAATAGTTAAAGTAGCTAGCTTGTAGCAAAGTAAATTAATTTATCTAGGTGAAAAGAGTATTAAGAGTTGAGATATTTTAACAATCCTCTACGGACAAACAATAAACTCAAGCATGATCTGACAAGCAGAAATTTGGGGAATAAAATAAACTTCTGCTAGAGGTGCCATAGAATATCCATAACTTTAACATGGCTTTTTCAGTAATGTTGGCAAAAAGTTACAGATTAGGTAGTGTCAAAAGCGGCAGCTCACATATTAAAACTATGCTTAATTTGATAATGATTTGGCTAACAAGAAGAAAACGATAATGTCCACGTGAAAACTTCTATGGCAGATCTTTAAAATTCGAAACTTCAAAAGAACAGACATAACTGAAGATTGCAACCAAACCATACTTGAATATCGGAACCTTTCTCTTATGAGTTACCTGAAATGGTAGAATTTTCTTTTTCTCCCTGTCAAAAGCAACGACCTCACAGTCCAGGATAAAAGATTTCACAGAAGGCTTCTTTAATCTGCATAGAGAAGATTCACTAACTTTAGAAATTGGCTCTTTCTAGTGTTTTCAACAAGTTACACCAGAAGTCTACCTTGACAACGCAAGAGCAACATCAGGGTACTTCCCAGTGTTTCTTTCAGCATTTCGACTGTATATCTCGAATGTACCATCCTCCATACAATGTACCTGCAGTAATTGACTGATGATAAGCCAAACCTTAACAGCAATAGCATATTTAAAAAGCTACGCTCTAGAAATAGCATTTGTAGGATATATCACCTGTGCACGTTCTCCATCATATTTGTATTCGCATGTGAAAACAGTGTCTTGAAATTTATTCAGTATCTCACCTACACCTTTTGTTGGTTTTGCAAGCATGGGTCCGATTGGAACACCCAGTGTAAAGTTACAGGTTTTAGGAAGATTCCACACGCCACCAGATAAAAGAGCAGGAACAATAATGTCGTAGACAGGAAGCACGGTGAATACTTGTTTTACTATCTTCGCAGCCTAGAAAAAAGGGCAGAAGGATGAATCAACGAAAGAAGTGTAAATGACGAAACATTAAACACATTATAATATATCTTTAACAAAGAAGATATGCATAGGAGGTAAACCCTGAGGTCTCTAGAAGAATGAAACATAGAGAGCGTAAAGCCACAAACAGCATCTTATACTATCTCACAAAGTCTTATTGTTTCTGACAGAGCTCAGAAATAACGAATTCTGATAGAAAATCAGAAACACAGAAACTAATAGAGAAAGCAAACCTCTTCTAAAGGAGACTTGGTATTAGGAGGTGGCTTTGAGTGTTCTTCATTATATACAGCTGCCTGTCCCAAAGCAGCTAAGACAGTCTGGTTTGAGAACCCTAACCGCAATTTTGCCTGAAAGGTAAATTCAGTAAGGCTTAATAAGGAAAACCAAAGGAAGGAGCAGAAAAAATTGTGACGCTTTGATCTGCATACCTGAAGTAAACGAGTTAAGTAAAGAGGTTCACAGTCTGTTGCTGCCACAAGAAGTGCCTTCATCCGATCCTTCTTCTTTTCTGTACTATCCTTTCCACTTTCCTGCCATAGTCAGTCAAAATAAGCTTTCACCGAATCTCACACAAAGCATAACCAAAACTCTAAGCATTCAAAGGCCTTTAAGTACCTTCGCAATTTGTCGAAATGTGTTGAAAACCTTGACAACAGTCAATGACTCAGGCTTGAACATCATAGTCTGAGACGAACGGCTTCCTTTTGCTACAAGCCCCAAGTCTCCAAGTTCCTACAAACACATTCAAGTTCAATTCCACAACTCCAAAAAAGCAAAGCCAATTCCACCAGACAAGAAGATCAAACCTACCGTGTTTAGCTTCTTAACCTGAGCCTCAGTCCTACCAAAAGCTTCAGAGATCGCCTTAATAATAGAACCTTCACCAATCCCCAACTCAACACCTTCATGCGCAGGAGCAATCTCGTTCGCCGCAAGGTAAACAGTAGCCACCAAATCATCAGGAGTAGTAGCAATCACAGTCCTCAGCATATTACACAGAATATCAGTAATCACAATCCTCCCACTCTCAGCTGAAATCAAATCAAAAGCCAACGCAATAAACAGAAACGGAACTCTCTCCCCTTTCTCCCAACACGACACACTCTCCGGATCGAACTCGCCAGGCTTCTTCTTCAGCAACACAACCTTACTCTTCAACTCCTCAATCTTATCCAAAGACCTAGACTTTTTCGCACCCTTCTTCGAATCCTCCGCAAACGACGCCGTATTCGATTCGATTTTCGCCGAATCGGAAGTTTCGGTCTTTGCCAAATCGGCGATTTTCCTTTTGCTCGGCGATTGAGGTGGGTTAGAGGAGGCCTGTGGAGTCTTCTTCTTGGCGGCGGATGCGCGAGCGTTAGACATTAGGGCGTCGAAAGCCGAGGGGCG